TGTAATACTTTCAAATGAAAAAATGCAACGTGTGTTTTTTTTATTAGATTACATTTTATTTTGATGGTCCCCTTTAGTCTATTGACAATAAGCTACTTTGCAGCTACATGTCAACTACTTCTCATTAGAGTATTAGTAGGCTTAGTTAAGGTTAGGGTTGGAAGAATAAGTTGATGTGCTTGCAAAGTTGCTTATAGTGAGTAGAATATCTGTTGGGGAACCATCAAAATAAGTGTTAGCAGATATATAGCATACAGTCTACTAATACTTTAATGACTGCTAGTCGACATGTAGTCGCAGAGTTACTTATCAACAGTTGTCTAAAGGCTACCATCAAAATAATCTAATTGATATTACAGTAAAAAGAGTTCAAAGCAAATGTGTACACATTCATTAGATCTGATATCAGATCTTATGGCTGTTTGAGAAAAAATATTATTATTATTATTATTTATAAGTGGTCTTAGTCTGCTTTAAGTACAGTGAAGTTACTTCACTTAAAGCAGACAAAGAGCACTTAATAACAATAAGACCACATTAAAGCATTTTGGAATGTTTTCATGAAGACTTTGTATTTGTTATTTTACAGTAAAAACACAAATAAGATGTACTAAGTTATTGTGCAGATCTTAAACAATGGCAAGATATGAGACCTATAATCCATTATAACTATGAGAAATATAATCCATTGTAACTTAAGTGGATGCAATGTGTTTATTGTGTGTTATAAATCATCATACACTTAACCACAAATAAGTATTATAATACATTAAAACTGTTCTTACGATTATTTATAAGATAATGCAACATATTATAAGGATTCTTATAATGCATTATTAATTCCTTATAATGCTTTAAGAATAACCTTATAATGTATTATAAACAGAGGCAGACAGTAGCTAAGTACATTTACTTGAGTATTAAAAGGTGCACTGGGCATTGTGCAAAAATAATTCATATTCTACTCTGACTTGTAATGATAATCCGGACCAGAAAGGAAGACCTGCTCAGCCTCATGCAATGAGAAGTTCCGTAGGACAGCCAGGGCATATATGATGGCCTATGAAAAAAAAGTTAATTTAAGTATACTATTATAGCACTACTGAACAGCAAGACATTATACATGGGTCCATACACGAGCAGCACCAGCATGCAGTTTATACAGTAGATTTTGTAAGTGCAGGAGCAGGACACTCACAAACACATTACATGGTCCGGCATACCTCTGCACTTCATCTGTGAAGCTCAGTTGTGTTGGTGTCCTGTGCAGCACTCCTCTCAGATAGACAAACAGGACAGTTGTTCCTCACTGTCGAGGTAGACAAGCACTCGGGAGGAGGTTAGCTTATGAGACCTTAGAGGGCTTCCCATTGAGTACACCCTATGGGCAAACCATGGTGCAAAAACAGTTATTTTGAGGAAAGGAAAAATTCGGGAATTCCCAATTCGGGAAAAAAGAATAGGGTCCTAGAACTGCGGTTGTGCAGGAACATACTATTGGATTTTTGGCCTTTGCTTTATGAAAGAGCTGCCAAGTCTTTGTAAAGAAAATCACCCATGCCCCCCTAGTGGCTGAATGCTCCACTTTGAACAAAAAAGGCTCCATCTCTCTGCCTTTAGGACCTCACAGCCCTGCACAGCCCTGCACAGCCTGGACGGTTTTTGTGTACTTGGGAAAACGACGCAAGTGGCACATGTTCTGTCCGTTTATTTGGGGCAGGCGAATGAATTAAAAGTATGATTTTGAAGGAATAAAACACCCAAACTTTTTGCCTGATAGTTAAAGGGATTTATTGCTTTATCAAACAGTTCCTGGTGGAAGAGAAGATCTAAAGTCTTAGGTGGGTTGATGTCCTCCTAAGGTTCTGTTTTAGCTTGCTAACGTTACATAGCTGACTTCTGCAATGTAGACTAATTTGTATATAACATTTTAATAATCAAACCGCTCTGGTGTTTACTTTGTCCTCTGGTGTTTTATGCCAGTTATTATTAAGGTTAAAAAAAATCTTTAAACGCGTCCTCGCTGCAGCAGTTCGCGAAATGTAGCTTGCTAATTGGCTATCAGGATAATTTTAAAGAGATTTTATACGATACTGTGTAGAAAGGGTCCGTTAGAATTTAATTATAAAATATTAGACCCTAGGAAAATATTTTGGATGTTTGTTGGAACTGTTTTGTGTCGGCATATAAAACTCATCATTGATATTAATTGGTGTAAACAAACCTGAAGTTGACAGCATTAGCGGGCTAGCATTAAAGCTAATGCTAACCCGAAGCCCGTGCAAGTTAACTTTCTCATTAGTGTGTTCCGCTGACACTACCCTTTAACGTCAAGTCGGTAAGATATGTTATATATTCTAAATTATATTGAAGAGTGTTTCAAGTACGACTAAAGGATGGCTGGTATTTGTTTTTGATTTCTGAAGTCCGGAGAGAGTTGCATTAGTGGGGGGGTTTCCTAGGAGAGTCCGGGGATGTGCTCGGTGTTGCTTATCTCGAATTTTAGGCCTTAGAGATGATATATCTGTAGTATCTACTTTTTGTGCATATAATTGTGTTAAATTACTTTATTGTGCTCCGTTATTTCTAGAAAAGTTTGAATCATTAATATTTTCCTGTTTAATTACCGCAACTACATTTTCTACTCCAGTATATCAGATTTAATGTTTGCTAGAATATTAAAAACGCATATAACTGAAATGTTTTACGTAACATTTTGTGCTTTTATATTTTATAAAACCACTTGCAGTAATTATATGTTTTGTCCCTACAAGGTGTATTTTTTATTTTTTACACCATACGTTAGGGTTTGTTTAAACGTAATACAATTTTGCCTATTGGTTGATATGTTACAGCTATGGATCTAGAACGACAGAAGCGTAAAGAAGAAATTCAGAAAGCTTTGGGATTCATTCAGTAAGTTTGTAGACTTATGTGCTGCATCTCCATAATGCAGTAATAATTAAAGGGGTCATATGATGCTGCTAAAAAGAACATTATTTTGTGTCTTTGGTGTAATGAAATGTTTATGCGGTTTAAAGTAAAAAAAAAAAAAAACACATTATTTTCCACTTACTGTACATTATTGTTTCTCCTCTATGCCCCGCCTTTCTGAAACATGCTGATTTTTACAAAGCTCATCGGTCTGAAAAGCGAGGTGTGCTCTGATTGGCCAGCTATCTAATGCGTTGTGATTGGCCGAATACCTCAAGCATGTGACGGAAATGTTACGCCCCTCACATACTGTTGATGCCGTGTCCGGCCTGAGCGACGAGACAAAACATTAAACCCCATTACAAACGAGGCATTTCTTGCATCCAGTGGGGACATAATTACAGATTATAATGACTTGTACTGTCTTTTTACGTGTTGCATCGCACCGCGTAAACACTCAACTCTGCATTTGTGATCGGAGAAATGACAAACAAGTGCTACTCTACTGCCCAAAAAACTCGCGTTTGAATCATCAGTGGCAAATCCTTTATATGAAAACGTACTTACATGAGTCAGAACTGCCGGCATTGTAGTCAACTCTTAACAGGATCAGTAAACAGTCCTCCATAAAATGTGCTGCACACATCTGGATATTTGGGTTAAACTGTTCTGGAACAGTGTTGTAAATACAACTTAACCACTGATTTGTAGTCGTGTCCTCTTTTGGAAGACCAAACAAAGTAGTTTCGCTTTCACAACGAATGGATTCCGCTTCATCCACGGTGAAAGTTGATGTATTTCCTCAGCGACCAGCACAGATAGCTCTAGGCATGACGAAGCAGATATCATCCTCTTTTGGAAGACCAAACAAAGTAGTTTCCCTTTTACAACGAAGCACACAGCGTCTTCACGACATGGCGGCGGCAGCAACAATACTACAGCGAGACTAAAAGTTACGCCTTCTTTCTTTGTGTGAACATTTGAGCGGCGTTATGCGTATCTTCCCACATCGTGAGAACGAGCCGTTTTAGGTAGGCGTGGTTTACTCTTAACTTTTATAAAGAATATCTCTTTGGATTTGAAATTTTAGTCTTTGCAAGACTTTACAGATCTTCTTTATGCACCAAGAGCTTGTAACACTCCAAAGAGAAAGGAAAAATTGAAAACGCATCATATAACCCCTTTAACTTCTTCCCCTCTACTCTGTTGAAAATTGTTTAAAAAAAAATTCTTTTTACCAGGTCATCTCTGCCTTTCCCTGAACCTGAGGGGTATGAGGTATGGTTTATATGTACTATCTCTGGAGAAAAATGGCCCCACCTAGATAATCCGTATTTATTGAATTTCATGAGCTTCATTCAAATAGAAGCTCTCTTGCTTTCTTTTCTCAGGCATTCCTGACTCAGCTAGTATGTAATTTGCTGGATGAAGGTAACGCAGTGTATCGTGATGGAGAGTGGAGACAGGCAGCAGTCCATTACAGTGAGGGTGTGAATGTAGCTCGCTATGCTCAGTCTGAAGCACTGGTCATTCCCCCTGAGCTGTTAGAGAGCCTTTATGTGAACCGGGCAGCTGCACATTATAGTCTGGTAAGTTCCATCAGCTGAGGATTTAATTAGTGCTGCAGACAATTTCTGCAAATCTGCCTTCTCTTGTATTTTTTTATTTAGGGGGAGTATGAGCGGGGCGTGCAGGACTGTGATAGCGCACTGTGTGTGTCGGAGGGCAGTCGCAGGGCACTCTACAGGAAGGCACTTTGTCTGAGGGAGCTGGGCAGATTCAGAGAAGCTTATGAGTGTGGCACCGGATGCCTATTAACTGCCCCTCACGTATGTTTTTATATGCTGAATAAATAGTATATTAATCTGTAATTTGTGTTATTTCTACAATTCAAAAGTTTGAAGTCAATGTTTTTATTATTGCTTTTGAGCAAAGATACATTACATTAATCAAAAAGGACAGTATAGGCATTTATAATTTCACTAAAGATTTCAATTTCAAATAAATACTGCTATATTGAACTTTCTGTTCAGAGAATCCTGAAGAAATGTCTTAAATTCCACAAAAATATTAAGCAGCACAACAGTTTTCAACATTGATAAAACAACATGTTTCTTCATCAGCATATTAGAATGATTTCTGAAGGATAATCATGTGATAAAGAAAAGTGGAGTAATGGCTGCTGGAAATTCTTTACCATCACAGGAATAAATTGCTTTTTAAAATAAATAAAATAGAACACAGTCTTTTTAAAATTGTAATAATATTTTACAATATTACTGTTTTTACTGTATTTTTGATCAGATAAATGCAGCCTTACTGAGCATAAGAGACCTCTCAAAAACATAAATAAATCTTATTGACTCACATTTTGAATGGTAGTGTATATAATTGAATGTATATTATATTCATTTAGATATTTGTATGACTTGTCTTGTTAGTTCATGTAATGCTTAGCTAACAAAACATTGGTTGTTTGCTTGCTTTATTTTACACAGGACCGGCAAGTCAGTGAGCTTGCTCAGGATCTAGCTAACAAACTTGGTTTGAAAATCCGCAAAGCATACGTCAGCCCTCAGGTTTGTTTTTTAGATTGTTAGGTTAAAATATTGATAATTTGCAGTTCATATAGTTGTACTCATTCCAACATGTCACACTTTTTATTCCAGCTCGATTCTACAACATCTGCGACCGACAGCAATGGAGAAACTAATTCTCCTACAGGGGAGGCAAGTTTTGACAAAAAAGTTGTAAATTGAGAATTGCATGGTTTGGATTACTTTAACAAATCTCCTTGTTTTTCTTTTCAGACCTCCTCAAATGGTCTTGAGTCTTTGACTGATATTGGATCAGGTATGTTCATAGACTGTATAAAAACATGGATGTAGTGTCCGTGACGTCACCCGTAGGTTTCTTAAGAGTGTTTTTGAAGCTCAAAGTGGGCGGAGCCAGCCGTCGCCATCTTGGCAGCGTGTCTCTCCTGGATAATCAAAAATGGGCAAAGAGGCGGGAGCTGGTTGCTGAAACCACGCCCACCTAGCTCGACGGTGGTGACAGCAGCGGCAATCCACCTGTCACTCAAGTGGCCACACCCTTAATTATGCAGAACTTTAAGGCTTAATATAATTTAAACGGATGAGTTATAAAAAAAATTCACCCTCCTCACAGTTGTCATGAAGGGCAAAATTAGCTATATAGACCAAAACCACTTATTGTACTAGGCTGTAAACACATTTTTTTTCTGCTGTAAAGTTGGGCATTTTAACTATGGGACCGACTCCCTTTTGGAGACAGCCTCTAGCGGCCAGTCGATGAATTGCAGTTTTAGTCACTTCCATGTTGGTTTCACGAGAGAGACCGGAAGGTTGCCGCTTGGGTGTGTTATTTAAATTAAGAGTTCATTTTCAAAAACCGATAACTCCTTTTTTTTTTTTCTTTCAGAAATCACGTTTTTTTTATTGCGCATTCCAAGTAATATTAATCAAACTGCATTTGGGTTGTTTTGAATAAGTAATAACTTAAACAAATACAGGTAATTTACTAAATGTATGTATGTTTTTTTTTTAACATTTACATTAATCAAAAAGGACAGTATAGGCATTTATAATTTCACTAAAGATTTCAATTTCAAATAAATACTGCTATATTGAACTTTCTGTTCAGAGAATCCTGAAGAAATGTCTTAAATTCCACAAAAATATTAAGCAGCACAACAGTTTTCAACATTGATAAAACAACATGTTTCTTCATCAGCATATTAGAATGATTTCTGAAGGATAATCATGTGATAAAGAAAAGTGGAGTAATGGCTGCTGGAAATTCTTTACCATCACAGGAATAAATTGCTTTTTAAAATAAATAAAATAGAACACAGTCTTTTTAAAATTGTAATAATATTTTACAATATTACTGTTTTTACTGTATTTTTGATCAGATAAATGCAGCCTTACTGAGCATAAGAGACCTCTCAAAAACATAAATAAATCTTATTGACTCACATTTTGAATGGTAGTGTATATAATTGAATGTATATTATATTCATTTAGATATTTGTATGACTTGTCTTGTTAGTTCATGTAATGCTTAGCTAACAAAACATTGGTTGTTTGCTTGCTTTATTTTACACAGGACCGGCAAGTCAGTGAGCTTGCTCAGGATCTAGCTAACAAACTTGGTTTGAAAATCCGCAAAGCATACGTCAGCCCTCAGGTTTGTTTTTTAGATTGTTAGGTTAAAATATTGATAATTTGCAGTTCATATAGTTGTACTCATTCCAACATGTCACACTTTTTATTCCAGCTCGATTCTACAACATCTGCGACCGACAGCAATGGAGAAACTAATTCTCCTACAGGGGAGGCAAGTTTTGACAAAAAAGTTGTAAATTGAGAATTGCATGGTTTGGATTACTTTAACAAATCTCCTTGTTTTTCTTTTCAGACCTCCTCAGATGGTCTTGAGTCTTTGACTGATATTGGATCAGGTATGTTCATAGACTGTATAAAAACATGGATGTAGTGTCCGTGACGTCACCCGTAGGTTTCTTAAGAGTGTTTTTGAAGCTCAAAGTGGGCGGAGCCAGCCGTCGCCATCTTGGCAGCGTGTCTCTCCTGGATAATCAAAAATGGGCAAAGAGGCGGGAGCTGGTTGCTGAAACCACGCCCACCTAGCTCGACGGTGGTGACAGCAGCGGCAATCCACCTGTCACTCAAGTGGCCACACCCTTAATTATGCAGAACTTTAAGGCTTAATATAATTTAAACGGATGAGTTATAAAAAAAATTCACCCTCCTCACAGTTGTCATGAAGGGCAAAATTAGCTATATAGACCAAAACCACTTATTGTACTAGGCTGTAAACACATTTTTTTTCTGCTGTAAAGTTGGGCATTTTAACTATGGGACCGACTCCCTTTTGGAGACAGCCTCTAGCGGCCAGTCGATGAATTGCAGTTTTAGTCACTTCCATGTTGGTTTCACGAGAGAGACCGGAAGGTTGCCGCTTGGGTGTGTTATTTAAATTAAGAGTTCATTTTCAAAAACCGATAACTCCTTTTTTTTTTTTCTTTCAGAAATCACGTTTTTTTTATTGCGCATTCCAAGTAATATTAATCAAACTGCATTTGGGTTGTTTTGAATAAGTAATAACTTAAACAAATACAGGTAATTTACTAAATGTATGTATGTTTTTTTTTTAACATATTAAAAGTTTGTTTTATAGCAAAAGCAGATAACTCCAACAGTTGTTTTTTGGCAAAAGCAGATAACGCCACATTTCATGTTTTAGAGTTTAAAAAAAAACACTTGTTTAATCTTTGTAATCTCTTCAGATGACAATGTAGATATGTCAAACGTTGTTGTTGTTGTGATCATAAACTGTATGGATGTGATTACACGCAATACACTGAGCTTTCCCCTCACCATTGTAACGCGTTGCTTTTGCAAGGTTCCGTGAAAACGTTTCAGCTTTTATTTTCCTTTTTCGCCCTGAAGAAGATATCACAGGTTCCTCAAGTTCGTCCAAATGATCCATCCTCGATCACTTAGTCAGCTTAGACAAAACTCCTCTCAGCTAGCACGTCTTTTCAAAGTGAAAGTAGCCTTGTCACCTGACCTGAATACAGCGTGCTGATTTGCCTAAATGGACTTGTCGGCTTCTGTTCAAAAACAACAAGGGCGCTTGTCGGCTTCTGCAGTAAAACGTGAACTCACGATGCCTTGAAAGTGGACAAAACCGGCTTTTTTGACAAAATGTGTTTAGGGTTCAGACCATGCTATATGTGGAGAATAATGCACGGCAATCAGCTCCATTTGTTTTTTAAAGTGCCGTTTATCGGTTTTTGCAAATGAACTTCAAATATACATACACCAGTATTTAAAAATCTAATTAAAATATGAGTACATTTATGGATATTCATTAAGCAAAAATTAATTGGATGGTTCAGTGTTCTCATCTTTATCCCACAGATTTAACAAGTGCCCAGTGCATCCCTGCTCCTCTGGCTACACCAATCCCAGTAAGTGATGACCCACAGATGCCCTCACTGAGCCCAGTTGTGCCCCAAGATATGCCAGAAAGCCCAAGCCAGGAGCCATCGGGGCGGGTGCCGTACTCTGTGCCTGTATCTGAACACATGGGTGAATGTGTGATGAATGAGGACACCTCATGTCTGGACACCTTGCTGGAAAGTATTCCCAAAGGAGCTGAGATCTGTGTGGTGAGTGAAATAGAGAGCTGTAGGGAGGAACAGTGGGATATAGTTGCTCAATACTGGATTGATCAATGTAAAAGTACTGACTTTCTTATCTATCCATCAGAACCCAGTTCAAGGGGCCATTCCTACTAACCTACCAAACACTGCTGTGGGTTTGAGGCCTCCGTACTCTCCAGGTCTCCCAGCATCCTCCGCTCAGCTCACGACTCAATATTTCAACTCTGCTGTCAGTCCGCTCCCCCCACTGGAGTCCTCCTCAGTTCTAGGTCAAAGCGAAGCCTCATCTCAGACGATGGACTCCCTTGGCTCCTTTAGCTCTGGAGCTAGAGACACTGCTGGGAAGGGGGGGTCTGGATCACTAA